ACACGAAGACTGAACAATCCTGGAAGGCAAAGGATATTTTTCTGCATAAATTTAATTCGGGATAATTGATAAATCGTGACTTCGCGTCGATATCGTTTCAAATTTCGCGCCACTCGTAAGTAGTATAGCCCGTGCATGGTCAACGCTAAGAGAGAGTTCATTACGGAATATGATTTATTATAATCGATAATATACACTGATTTTATCCTAATACACATGATAATAGGATAGATAGTATTATTGATTATTATTTATCATTTTTTTCACACAACGAAAGTTCTCCATTTTTAAATTTGTAAGTATGCATTCGTTTTTTAATCACATTTTATCAAAGTTTCATTCTGAACTGGGAATTTAATCAAATCATTGCATTTCCTTGTATTTACACAAATTTTATTTTTAATGATACGGAATTTCGAAATGTAAAATAGAAGGAATATATTTATGCTAAATTTAAAATAAAAAAATTAGACGAACTGAACTAGGAGGACAAATTTTTGTTAATTAGTTAGGTTACGAAGTTATATTAATATAACTTATAATTATCATTCGTTTATTATAATTTTTTCCATTATTTTACTTCACTCTTCCTGTCATTTAAATTTTCCCCCCCCCCCTGCATATGAAATCAAAGAAATCCAAAATCCAAAATCCAAAATAGAAATATGAATTTACTGTATTGATAATTTTTCATTTTTAATTTTTCAATTTTAATTTTTCACACATGATCCAATTTCATCTGAAATTTTCAAAATCCCAATTACAAAATCCAAAAAAGCATCAAGGGTATTTACAAAGTCCAAAAGTTATTAAAAATTTGCACGAAGCTTAAAAATTTTCTAAAATTCCTAAGACATCCCAAAATTACTAGCAATTCCAAAAAAATTCAAAAATTGCTAAAAATTCCTGCAATAATTCTCCCATATCCCACGAAATTTAAAAAATCGTCGGGAATTCCAGAGAGGTTCAAACTAAGTAATAATTTAAAAATAAATATTTAAATCGTCAAAACTTCCCATAAACTTTCAAATCTCGTTCAAAATTGCCGCGCGTTCTGAAAAGATTCAGCGAGCGGTCGCGAAATGCGTTCAAATTTCGCGCCATCGATACATCTCGAACGAGTCGTAGTCGAGAGTGCGGCATGCGCTCTGAGGGCGCGTTCACGGTGTGGAGCCGGCATCGCGACACTGTGCAGCGTCTCCGTGGACGCAGGCGTGGTGCCAGCCCCTCTAGTTTCGCCGCAGTGACACTGGGTGCATGACAGTCGCTAGCCAGCCGAAGAGGAAACCAGCCTCGAAGAGCTGCTGCCAGCCGAGCGTGTGCGTGTTCTTCTCGTGACGAGACGCGTTCCGTGGCTGATCCAGGTGTCCTAAAGGTGCAGAACCCATCATCCATCCGACAGGACACGAGCTCTGCAAACCCCGAGCCATGCAGGTCTCCAGGACTCAGTGATCGTGGATCGACTGATTGTCCTGATCGACGATCGAAGCAGTGAACGTCCTGACAGGATCAACCGTGTCCACCTGGACCTCTGAACAGGCATCAAGGAACAGGATCATCCCTCAGACTCCTGAATCATTACTCTCGCAAGTGTGCATTCCTTCTCCAGTCTCGTGTTGACAAACCACCTTGTACCTCCTCTCACTCAGCAGGAGGATCACCTGTTCGGTCTGCAGTGTGTTTACCAGCACGACGAGTCTATTGTGAGCCGGAACAGGATTGATTCCGATCAAAGCCAATAGGAGGATCCAGCTGTTCCATGACAGCAGTTGGACCGTTTGAATTTTCCATGAGGCAGATGGGTGGTGCCCTTCTGACAGTGATCGAAGGATCTACCTAGGGATCGATTGATCAATTGACGCGTGTCCACCTGCAGGACTCGCCCTGCCAGCGTGTCCTTGATACTCCCGAACCAGACTGACCCAGTGACCAGCGACAGGACGCAACCACTTGTGGCGGTTATCGAGTGTCACGACTGCTCCAAGCCGGTCTGAACATTCGTCTAGCTATTATTCTGTCGGGGCTAAAGGGGTAGCAGCTGTCCTCGCGCGTTCCTCGATGAGCATAGGCTGCTGTCTGATCAGTGGTGCGCGCGTTAATCGCGGATTTGTCGCGTTCGCGGTGTGACCGTGTGACATGTGACACTGATCGAGGCGTGCTTGGAGTGTGATGGGCGAAAGGAATCGCTACGTCCACGAAGGATTCCCTTTGACCAGCGACGGGATGAGGTTGCCGCCTTTCGAGCTGACGCTTCGTCGGAGGTAGGCCGTGCGTAGGTTCGTCGTGTCTCTTCACTCAACTTTTCGACCAGTTTAATGTCAATTTCTTTTCAGACTCTTCTTATCTGATCTTCTCTGTCTTTTGCTGTTTATTTCTAATCCTCGTTGTGTTTTATTTCTACTTTATTTTCTGTCATGTCTGTTGTATTCTTAGGCTCTTTGAGTGGGAGTCAGGAGTGTCTGGGATATTATATGTTTGGGCTACTGGATTGACAGTCGGTAGCATCCTGTGTATTATATTTTTAAGAAATTAGACTGGCAATTGTTAGGCTATTGTATTCTCGGGTTATAGGACTGACAGTCAGTAGTGCCCAGTGTATTATATCCTTAGGCTAATTGACTGTCAAGCAGTAGTGTCCTGTCTATTTTATTTTTAGGCTATTAGTTTGGCAGTCGCTAGTGTATCATACCTTTTGGCAATCATTAATGTCCAGTCTATGGCAATTATTAAGTTATTATATTCTCAGGCTATTGCACTGTCAGTCTGTAGTGCCTAGTGTATTATATCCTTAGACTAATTGACTGTCAAGCAGTAGTGTCTTGTCTATTTTATTTTTAGGCTATTAGTTTGGCAGTCACTAAAAAGTCACTAAAAACTATGATATCTTTTGGCTATCAGACTGGGAATCATTAGTGTTCAGTCTATTAAATTTTTAGAGTATTAGACTGACAGCCACTGGTGCCCAGTCTATGACATTTTTAAGCTACTAGATTGTCAATTACTAATATCTATCCATTATTTTCTTGAGCTTTTAAACTAGCAGTCAGTATTGCTACGTAGTCTATTATACTTTTAGGCTATTAGTTTGGCAGTCACTAGTCTGTGATACCTTTTGGCTATCAGATTGGCAATCATTAGTGTCCAGTCTATTATACTTTTAAAGTATTAGACTGACAGTCTACTAGATTGTCTATCCATTATTTTCTTGAGCTTCTAAATTAACAGTACTGTAACCTAGTCTATTATACTTTTAGGGTATTACACTGACAATTACTGGTACCCAGTCTCTGACATTTTTAAGCTACTTGATTGTCAATAACTAATATCTATCTATTATTTTCTTGGGCTTTCAAACTAGCAGTCAATACTGCAACCTAGTCTATTATACTTTTAGGTCATTAGATTAGTAATCATTAATGTCCAATCTATTCTAGTTTCGGCTATTCTATTAACAGTCACTGGGATCCAGTATATCATACTTTTAGGCTATTAGTCTGGTAGCCAATAGTACCCAGTTAATGATACTTTTAGACTATTAAATTGGCAATCACTAATATTCTGTCTATTATTTTCTTGAGCTATTAGACCAGTAGTCAGTACTGGTGTCCAGTCTATTATATTCTTAGGCTATTAGACTAACAGTCAATAGTGTCCTGTCTATTATACTTTGGGCTTTTACTAAAATACTCGCACTGATAGCTGGCCAAGAAGGAAAAACTCAATTCCAGTTAGGAGTTTAGGTTTATTAGCACTGTTGGGACGTTTTTATCGTTCAAAATCCTTCCTCCAGTCATCAGACCTGACATGTCTTTGTTGGCCAGGATCGCGATAGCGGGAAACGACGCTCGACTCGCGATTTTTCTGCTCACGATCGCTGCTTGCTGGACGCTGGATGATCCTGATCACGAGTTTACCCCCGGCTCTGATTAAATTCGAGAGGATCTCTAATTGCGAACGAGGATTCGTTCTAGGTGCTTTTAATCTTCTGGACGTCGCTTCACGGGAGATTGCGATGGAGGTTTCGCGATTGCATATTATATTGGTCGCGGAGAGGAAAGTTGATGGGATTTTTAATTTTGTATTAGCTTCATTTCTTCTTTATTTGCTCGGGCAGGTTAGTTTTTGGAAGCACAGAAATTCATCGTTTCTTAAATCCTTCTTCATTCCGTTTAGTGTTCACTCTTGCTCGCCACTTTTCAATTGCCTGTGTTAATTTATTTATTTATTACGAAAATTTGGGCTATCTTTTTTTGATTATTTTTCTTTAGAAACAGTTTGATCGAAATTCCATTATTGAACATTTTATTGGTACGGGAATATTTGCGGAGGGTAAATGGAATTTTTTATTTTGTATTAGTATTAGTTCCATTTTTCCTTTTATTCGTTTTAAGGTATTATTTTTTGAAAGATGGAAATTAATTAATTTTTATTAATTTCGTGTACTGATTCTCTATGCAAATTTATTTATTCATTTTGTCTGTGTAGGATTCTTAATCCTCGCTATTAAAATATTTTTTCACTATTCTCTTATTGCAATCTTTATAATTGAAGATTATAGGGACAAAATTTGATGCATCGTGTTTTTATAAAAGAAAAAATCATTTTTTTTATTCAGTTTTCAGATTGTTTGAAAAACTTCAAAATATCGATCATCAGGAGATAATGCTGATCTTGTTCTCTCATTACACCCTATTCTGATGAACTTGTTCCCCCATTGCACTCTGCTAAGAAGGTTCATAACTATCGATAACCAATATTATAGCATTTATGTCATAATATCACTTGTTTTATCGATCTTCCACGAAATTTCGTAGATTTATCAGCTATTTTTAGGAGACTCATATTTCTGGACCTAACAGGTTGTTCCCCCTTTTGACTATACCGCATTAGAATA